GGAACTGTCGAGAGCAAGGTCATATGAGGAGCCAGTGTAAGAAGAATACCACCAATAAGTCAGCTTCGGGAAACCAGTAGTGGTTGGTGCTGAAGGACGCCCACCAACCCCTATCGTGAAAGTCCCAACAGCTAAGTGTAGAATGGCGAGCACACACAGTATCTACGTGACAGGAAAGCTGGATGGCCAAAGGTGCAACTTTGTCATAGATTCTGCATCTCAGCAAACCCTCGTGAGTATCAAGGTGCTGGATCACAAAGGAGAACCAGAAGCTGAACAGAAGCTCTGTGGTGTGACAGGACATTTTGCAAGGTTGTGGGGACCAGTGTGGGTAACTATTGAGATCATGGGCATAAAGGACAGACACAAAGTATACTTGGCTGATATTGAAGACGAGTGCATATTAGGATTGGGCTATTTACTACCGAGGAAGTTTGTAATTTATTTTGATAAAATGACATTTGGGAACAACAGAGGCCAAGTTCCGGTAACTGTTAAAAGAGAGGTTGAGCTAATTAGGTGTCATCAAGCTGAAATCAAAGTGACTGAAGGAGTTGATGATGGTGAAATGGAACCAGGTATATATATTAAATCAGAGCATGAAGCCACTGGATACACTCCAGCAAAGTTGATGTTTGGTCGGGAACTTCGGTTGCCAATGGATCTGTTAACAGGACACCCACCTTACGAAGAGTTACCTGAAAATGTGTCAGAATTCGTGAAAGTGTTATCGGAAAGGATGGATAATATTCGCCATCAAGTGCGTTCAAACTTGAAAACGTCTGCTGGTTCGATGAAGTTATGTTATGATAAGAGATCTACTGAAGTCAGCTTTGTACCAGGAGACAAGGTGTGATTGTATAATCCAAGGAAGACCAAAGGGAAGTCTCCTAATTTGTCTTCTCCATGGGAAGGCCCATATGACATAGTGGATCGTCTCTCAGACGTGACTTTCCGAATAAAATGTGGTCGGCAAGGTAAGCCAAAAGTGGTGCATGCCAACAGGCATACTGGCATACTGTCAAGTAGTAGTAGAATCAACACGTAAGATCTCTAAGAAGCAGGCACAATAGCATGAATAATGATCTGGCCAACAAAGAATGAGGTCCCAATGCTGCTCTGCAAGTATGGGCCATTGACATTCCAGCTCTCTACATAAATGTTTATCAGAGCAGTGTAAATAGTAAAGGTAACTGGTACCAGCTGTAGGATTAGTGTTGTTTCTATAGTACCTCACCAAAAGACGAATGATTGACTCACTGCACACCTGAGTATGCTATATGATTATTACATTAATAATCTGTACTATACTAAGCAGCTAACTCTCAATAGCTTGCTGACTAAAAATAATAATGTATTTGTTGTACAAAATGGCCAATTGGATAAAATCAATGTCATCACATTAAAACTGGTGACCCATGCAGGCTTTTCTGAAATACCAGGGACACATCCAGCATTGAGATAGCATGGATTTTGAAGGACAGCGTCATCAGCTATTAAAGAGTCTATAGTTATCTTCAACTGTGATTGTTTAAAAGAAAGATGGCTCAGTTAGGTGTTGTGTTAACTTCTACAGGATGAATGTCTGGATAAATTGAAAGCGCCCAGCAGTTTATTTTGCTAGACTTGGCTTCTGGATACTGGCAAGTAAAACTGAATGATGAGAGAAGAGTAAAAACTGCTTTTAGCACTCAGAATTTAGATTTAGATTTAGACTAGGCGAAGCACAGTTAGCTGGTTAGTTAGTATTGAGCTACAGGAGGACGTTGAGAAAAATGCTAATCACGAGTTTGACAGTGATGAGTTTCTGAGGCCGAGTTAGTAGCACTGTAGAAACTACTAAAATTTTATGATAGCATCTCAAATCGGTGCTTTGATGTGAGATATGTTACTCCAGATCAGTGCAGTAGTACAAGTAAAAATGCAACCGGAGCACTAACCATCACAATAACCAATTACTTGAGAGTTTTGGTTTTTATTTTGGATTAGACTGGGAAGTTGCATAGATTGACCAATAAAGTGTTAGAACGACTTGCGGATAGTTAGAAATACTATTTGGAAGGTCGAAAGAATACAGAGAAAATATGGTATAAAAACTCAAGTCTGAAGCTAAAAATCAGTGGTCTCCAGGAAGAACGAGAGTATTCTCCAAGAAGTTAGTTATGTCCAGGAACTATCAGTGATCCCCAGGAAGAATCGAAGTTCCAAGCCATTATGAATATGGAGGTTTCCAATCTCCAGAAGTATACCAGTCCAACTCTGTTGTAAGGATAGAATTGCTATCTCTCTTGTTCAATTAATGTAGTTTAGTAAAGGAAGTTAATGGTTATACTAGAGAGAAATATTCTATATGTATTGATTAATAGTGCTAACTGAAAAGTGAAAAGTAAAGTTGTGAGAAACTAACAGTTTAATAAATGTTTAACTATTGATGTTAACAGTTTATACTAAGTGGAAAGACCTAATAAATGTTGATGTATTTTGTTAAGTGTAAGTCTTGGGATCCGTTTCTTTATTCTAACTATAAATTACTTCGAGTTAGCAAATTGTGTGCTCCACTCGCCACTGCAATCCTCAACTAAGTAAATCTGGTGTAAGTGGCGGTATAATCGAAACTCCAACGATTAGGCCTAAGGGCGCTGCCTGTTACAATTGCTGTACACCTCAGTGTAATTTCTTGGTCATATTGTGGGTAGGGGCGGCACTTCTATTGGACCTGTGAATATCACAGAATTTCAAGACTGCTCCCTACTTGCAACAACACGAGAAAACTGAAGATTCATTCGTCTCTCTTTGTATTATTGACGTTTTTGGTCAATTTCTTCAAGATTGATGTAACCATGTCCGTTCATACTAAGACTGATACGCATTTCAGATGAACCAATTACTGTGAACATGCATTCCAAGTACTGAAGCATGCTTTAAATGGAATTATCTGTATTGTCATACACACAGCAGAATTATGAGTTTCTTTTTGATACATATACCAATGATAGTGGTATCAAATCAGTGATTTTACAGGTGCAGGATGGGGCTGAACATGTGATCATATATGCAAGCCATACATTGACAGCTTCTTAATGCAGATACTGCATCATGAAGAAGGAAACGCTTGAAGTTGTGGCATTTATGAAGCGTTACTGGTATTATCTATATGGGAGAAAGTTAACTCTCCAAATTAATCTAACATTTCTCAAGTGGCTCATGAACCTTTTAAATTTGAAGGGTATGATAGTGCATT